AGGTTGACAAAAAACAGACACCACAAGAACTACTGGAACTCTATTGTTAAAGGATATAACAACAGACTCTTGAAAGCTTGACAGAGCTTTCTTCCCCTGCTTATACCAAAGAGAATCAAGGCGGGGCACTCTTGAGTTTCTTTCTCACTCCTCCCGTTCAGGGCTAAGATAGCATTTACACCTGCTGAGTTCCCTTTTCAAGGCCACCTCCATACTTTTCCATGCAAATTCTGCTGAGTTTAAATCCCATACTTTCCTGATGAAGCATGGGATACAAATAAATAAATAAAATATAGCCACAACCATAAGTGGCAACTATGGGGAAGTGAGATCCCATCCCCTTGTCAATGCAAAATTAAAGAAGGTGCTTCTGGGAAAGATTCAACACATATGTCCCTCTGACAAATCAGCAGTGTCTGGTGTAGGTGCAGCTCAATGTTGTCAGTGCCCTTTATGCAATTCTATTGTCTAGCGAAGCAGATTAGTTCGCTGCAGCAGAGTCTGGTTTCCATATTTTGTCCTCACTGCTCCAACTGCTAAGAAAAAAAGAAAATCTGAACCAAGTGCCAAGGAGAAAATATTTTAGGGTCAAGCCTAGAGTCTTTTTGAAGATAAGTGTCCATTAATTATAATTTGAAACCCATGAACTATAAAAGTTGGGGAAAGGTATTCTGTGAAAAGAACAATCTTACATTGTCTGAGTTGAATGAATAATGATTCTTTAATCTCTGCTTTCACTGACTGTAGGCAAGATAAAATGAGCTTTGCCCTGTAATGTTAGTGTTCACCATGCCACCAAAAGGTAAGTAGAGTTCTTCCGCTAATTAGGAGAGCAGTTCTCAATTTACTACACTGTAAGATCTCAGGAGAACAACAGAACTTGAACTTAGTAAAGCACACAGTTTTTTATTTAAGTTTCAGTGATCATTAAGTTTTATTACTTTGCTTTATCAGAAGTGGGCAACTGAATTTTAAGCTCAAATTTATAGCAAATTAAACCTGCAAATAGGATGCTCAGAGTATAATTTATGTGCCTGTGAAAATACAGCAACTTACTTGTTTTGTGATTGCCACATAAAACAAAAACAGATTTTCAATGGAACTTCAATTCACTGAGATAATAAGAGTAGTGTTGCCATGAATAAAAGCAGAACATTGTTTGTGTAAAAGAAATAAAATATTTTGGTGTTCTCCAGTGTCATTCCCTAGTGCAAGACGGGAGGCAAATGAGACACAAAGCCAAAAGGGCAGCTTAG